CTGTATATATATATATATATATATATATATTGTACTATATACTCATATATTGTTGGATATATTTGTTTGAGTTTGTTTCTTTAAAAAATATATATATTTTTATATATAATATAATAATTGTTTCTCCCAGACAATAATTAATGTAATCAGTGTGTCTGAATTCTGTATCTCATATTATTTTCATTGAATCAGTTTTTTACATTTTAAAAATCCTTTAGAGGATGTTACAGACTCAAAGGCCCAAGAATGAGAGACGACTGTGAGCCAGTAGGTTAAGTGTAATGAGAATGAACACAGATGAAGCGTTTATTCTGGCATTTGTGTGGAGCTGAAGTTCTGGCAGAACAAATTCTCTGTGTTTTTGAATGTGTCTGGAAAAAGCCCATTTCCTCTGCTGCTCTCGCTCGTTCTGCTCCGCTCTAATATTGACTCATTCTCTGTGTTTCTATGCTGTTTATAGGACATAAAATGGGAACATGCTCAACATGTTATTGACTGTCTCGCTCGGGTCAATAGACGAGTGTTTGTTGTTGAACAGAGAGCTGTTGAAGACGCTCATTTACAGCAAGCTATTTTTATTGCCAATTACTGAGAAATGCAACAGATTACAAGTTTGGCGTAGAAACATTTTTCACTCAGAAATTGCTAATAAATTATATATATATATATATATATATATACATATTCAATAGTACTGTAAAAACATTAATACTGTGAAATATTATTACAGTTTAAAATAACCATTTTCTATATGAATATATTGTAAAATGTCATTTATTTCTGTGATCAAAGCTGTATTTTCAGTATCATTTGCTGCTCAATTATTAACAACATTTGTGTGGAGCTGAAGTTCTGGCAGAACAAATTCTCTGTGTTTTTGAATGTGTCTGGAAAAAGCCCATTTCCTCTGCTGCTCTCGCTCGTTCTGCTCCGCTCTAATATTGACTCATTCTCTGTGTTTCTATGCTGTTTATAGGACATAAAATGGGAACATGCTCAACATGTTATTGACTGTCTCGCTCGGGTCAATAGACGAGTGTTTGTTGTTGAACAGAGAGCTGTTGAAGACGCTCATTTACAGCAAGCTATTTTTATTGCCAATTACTGAGAAATGCAACAGATTACAAGTTTGGCGTAGAAACATTTTTCACTCAGAAATTGCTAATAAATTTCACAAACAATTAATAAGAATTGGCAAGTAACACATTGAATTAAATGGGAAATTTTGAAGTAGAAAGGCTGAAGTAGTATTTTCTTTTAAAACTTTGAAAAATCAAAGTTGTAAAAAAAAATTTTTTTTTTTTTTTTACCAAGAATCATTATTCATGGTGTGAGTGAATCAGAAAATATTTTTGGCAATAATAATAATAATAATAATAAATAAATAAATAAAAAATAAAAAAGAGCTTTTTAGTCCCATTATGATTTTTGCAATATTTTCATGAAAATTAAGCTTGTTCGCCCTAAGTTATCATAATTTATGCAAAAATAATTGCTTTTGAGTTATTTATTTATTTTTTCATTATTGTCAGTAGTGGTTTTATATTATATAATATTTCTATAAGCAAAATATAATTTCTTATTTATTTTGTGAAATATAATATAGGCTATATATAATACAAAATATTTTCTTTGCTCAAAATATAATTTTGTATGTATTTCTTTTGATTTTGATGCGAAATTTGACCTGAACAACAAGAACCATTGTGTTGGCTATTATCATTAATCATAAAATGTATAAAGTCCTTGATGTTACATACACAAATTAATCAGTGCTGAATTTGGATCTGCATTCTAGCATACTGCTCTTATTTCTGCAATAAAATTACATGGTTAAATGCTATATGCGGTTCTGAATTAATTCAGTATATTCATTATGGGTTCTTTAAATCAATTGTGAAACTCAATAAGGTTGTAAACCCCTATTAGGTGCTAATTGGAAGCATGCTTAAGAGTGTATGGAGCACGCATGTTCACTTGATGGAGGAAAAGCTGTTGTTTTGCGAGCAGTTTGCTCCTCTCAAACATGTCATGTTTGTGCAGAGGAGAGAGTTTGAACAGCTGCGTTCAGAAGATCCACAAACACACGCAGCCTAATGAAGACATTCCCACAGTCACTGCACGCCAGAGCGCTAATGGAACTGCAGCCTCAAACAACCAATGTCCAGACATATTATATTAAATCAAATAAAAAAAAAGTTATATACATGCACATTAGCAGCCAGCCACAACACCTTAGCAACTGCACTCAGAACATCTTATCAACCACACAGCAACATGCAAAAAAACACAAAAAAAAAATCTTACCGACCACATAGCAACAACCTGGCAACCAACCGGAACACTTTATCATCATGAAGGTGAATTTTGCAAATTTCTCATTTATTTTATGTTTTGTCCACAAGCTAACATTCCTCCAAGTTTTATGGTATTTGAAAATTATTTGGAAATTTTATTTCAATCCTTACAGCAGCTGGAGAAAGGAAATGCCTTAAAACTCTCTAAATTACTTAAACTGTATTGATTAATGCT